GACTGAGTCGAGCACCACAGGTTCGAGCACCACAGAGTCAAGCAGTACCACGTTGACCAGCACGACTGAGTCGAGCACCACAGGTTCGAGCACCACAGAGTCAAGCAGTACCACGTTGACCAGCACGACTGAGTCGAGTACCACGGGTTCGAGCACCACAGAGTCAAGCAGTACCACGTTGACCAGCACGACGGAGTCGAGTACCACAGGTTCGAGCACCACAGAGTCAAGCAGTACCACGTTGACCAGCACGACTGAGTCGAGTACCACCGGTTCGAGCACCACAGAGTCAAGCAGTGCCACTTTGACCAGCACGACTGAGTCGAGTACCACAGGTTCGAGCACCACAGAGTCAAGCAGTACCACGTTGACCAGCACGACTGAGTCGAGTACCACAGGTTCGAGCAGCACAGCGTCAAGCAGTACCACGCTGAACACCACGACAGAGTCGAGCACCACTGGGTCGAGCACCACAGAGTCGAGCAGTACCACGTTGACCAGCACGACTGAGTCGAGTGCCACAGGTTCGAGCACGACAGAGTCGAGCAGTACCACTTTGACCAGCACGACTGAGTCGAGTACCACAGGTTCGAGCACCACAGAGTCAAGCAGTACCACGTTGACCAGCACGACTGAGTCGAGTACCACAGGTTCGAGCACCACAGAGTCAAGCAGTACCACTTTGACCAGCACGACTGAGTCGAGTACCACAGGTTCGAGCACCACAGAGTCAAGCAGTACCCCGTTGACCAGCACGACTGAGTCGAGCACCACAGGTTCGAGCAGTACCACGCTGACCACCACGGCAGAGTCGAGTGCCACAGGGTCGAGCACCACGCTGGGCAGCACGACAGGGTCGAGCACCATTGGGTCGACTACCACGGAACGAAGCAGCATCACATTGACCAGCACGATTGAGTCGAGCACCACAGGTTCGAGCATCACAGCGTCAAGCAGTACCACGCTGACCACCACCACAGAGTCGAGCACCACTGGGTCGACTACCACGGAACGACGTAGCATCATATTGACCAGCACGACAGAGTCGAGCACCACAGGTTCGAGCACCACAGAGTCAAGCAGTACCACGTTGACCAGCACTACTGAGTCGAGTACCACCGAGTCGAGCACAACGCTGGGCAGCACGACAGGGTCGAGCACCATTGGGTCGAGCACCACGCTGGGCAGCACGACAGAGTCGAGCACCACTGGGTCGACTACCACGGAACGACGTAGCATCACATTGACCAGCACGACAGAGTCGAGCACCCCAGGTTCGAGCACCACAGAGTCAAGCAGTACCACGCTGACCAGCACGACTGATTCGAGTATCATTGGGTCGAGCACCACGCTGGGCAGCACGACGGAGTCGAGCACCGCTGGGTCGACTACCTTGGAACGAAGTAGCACCACATTGACCAGCACGACAGAGTCGAGCACCCCAGGTTCGAGCACCACAGAGTCAAGCAGTACCACGCTGACCAGCACGACTGAGTCGAGTACCACTGGGTCGAGCACCACGCTGGGCAGCACGACAGAGTCGAGTACCGCTGGGCCGACTGCCACGGAACGAAGTAGCACCACATTGACCAGCACGACAGAGTCGAGCACCCCAGGTTCGAGCACCACAGAGTCAAGCAGTACCACGTTGACCAGCACCACTGAGGCGAGTACCACTGGATCGGGCACCTCGCTGGGCAGCACGACAGAGTCGAGCACCACTGGGTCGACTACCACGGAACGAAGTAGCATCACATTGATCAACACGACAGAGTCGAGCACCTCAGGTTTGAGCACCACAGAGTCAAGCAGTACCACGCTGACCAGCACGACTGAGTCGAGTGCCACTTGGCCGAGCACCACGCTTGGCAGCACGACAGAGTCGAGCACCACTGGGTCGACTACCACGGAACGAATCAGCACCACATTGACCAGCACGATGGATTCGAGCACCACCGGTTCGAGCACCACAGAGTCAAGCAGTACCACGTTGACCAGCACGACTGAGTCGAGTACCACTGGGTCGAGCACCACGCTGGGCAGCACGACAGGGTCGAGCACCACTGGGTCGACTACCACGGAACAGAATAGCATCACATTGACCAGCACGACAGAGTCGAGCACCCCAGGTTCGAGCACCACAGAGTCAAGCAGTACCACGCTGACCAGCACGATTGAGTCGAGTACCACCGAGTCGAGCACCACGCTGGGCAGCACGACGGAGTCGAGCACCACTGGGTCGACTACCACGGAACGAAGTAGCATCACGTTGACCAGCACGACAGAGTCGAGCACCCCAGGTTCGAACACCACAGAGTCAAGCAGTACCACTCTGACCACCACGACTGATTCGAGTATCACTGGGTCGAGCACCACGCTGGGCAGCACGACGGAGTCGAGCACCACTGGGTCGACTACCACTGGACGAAGTAGCATCACATTGACCAGCACGACAGAGTCGAGCACCCCAGGTTCGAGCACCACAGAGTCAAGCAGTACCACCTTGACAAGCACGACTGAGTCGAGTACCACTGGGTCGAGCACCACGCTGGGCAGCACGACAGAGTCGAGCACCACTGGGTCGACTACCACAGAGTCAAGCAGTACCACACGAGCCTTTTCCGCCAGCACTTCCACCAGCATGGCCACTTCTTCAACCGGCACTCTCACAAGCACAAGCCAGACGAGTACCACCACCCTGACATCCACCTCTGTAACGAGCACAGCCCGGACAGGCAGCACAGTAACGTCCACTAGCCACACAAGCACCCTTTCCCTAACAACCATGTTCACGACCACACTCGCCCGTACACTCCTAAGCACAAGCCAGACGAGCACCACCACCTCGGTAAGCGCAATCATCATTCCCAGTGCAACTTCTTCGACGTCGCATACAATCACTACCGTCGCCGCCACCAGCACAGCCGCTTCTTCGCTCAGCACTCTCACGAGCGCAAGCCAGACGAGCACCACCACCCTGACATCCACCTCTGCAACGAGCACAAGCCAGACGAGCACCACCACCCCGACGAACACGACGATCACAGCCACCAGCACGGCCGCTTCTTCAACCAGCACTCTCACAAGCGCAAGCCAGACGAGTACCACCACCCTGACATCCACCTTTGCAACGAGCACAAGCCAGACGAGCACCACCACCCCGACGAACACGACGATCACCGCCACCAGCACGGCCACTGCTTCAACCAGCACTCTCACAAGCGCAAGCCAGACGAGTACCACCACCCTGACATCCACCTCTGCAACGATCACAAGCCAGACGAGCACCACCACCCCGACGAACACGACGATCACCGCCACCAGCACGGCCACTTCTTCAACCAGCACTCTCACAAGCGCCAGCCAGACGAGTACTACCACCTTGACATCCACCTCTGCAACGATCACAAGCCAGACGAGCACCACCACCCTGACGAACACGACGATTACCGCCACCAGCTCGGCCACCTCCACGACTACCCGCTCACTCACGAGCGCAAGCCAGTCGAGCACCACCAGCCTGACGAGCACAACCAGCACTTCCAGCACAGCTTCCTCGACGACACAGACAACCACTACGACCCCGCTTTATTCCTTGAGCAGCTCTTTGTCTTTCGACAGCACAGGCACGGCAACTCAGGTGGAAGCTGCTGTGGTCGCAGTTTTGACTGCAACATATTCAGTGGCCGAGGACATTATGACTGTGACTGTCACGGCGGGTACTTCGCCCATCGTGACCCGAGAGCTCGCAGGCTCAACCACCAGCTGGCAGGTAGATTTTATGATTGTTGCAGATGAGGGCACTGTCGACCAGGTGTACGCAGTCGCTGTCAAGATGTCTGCAAACAGTACAAACTCCAGTGCCCTCGAACGCTTTGGGTCGGATCTGGGCAGCGCCTTGGAAAGTTTGAACGTGACGCTAAATTCGACAACCCTGGCGTACACAGACCCAGTTAAACTGATAATTACCGCCACCGTGACAACAGTAAGCACGAGCACTACCCAGACGAGTACATTCACCAGAACACTTACAAGCGTAAGCCAGACGAGCAGTGTCACCTCAACCACCGGCACATTTACAAGCATAAGCCAGACGAGCAGTTTCACCCTGACCACCACCGCTCATACCAGCACGGCCACCTCAACCACCAGCGCATCTACAAGCGTAAGCCAGACGAGCAGTTCCACCCTGACCACCACCGCTCATACCATCACGGCCACCTCAGGCACCAGAACTCTCACGAGCACAACCTCTGAAACGGGCACAACGCATAGCACCACCCTGACGAGCGCATCCGAGACCAGCTCAACACCGAGCAGCACCTTGACGAGCGCATCCGAGACCAGTATCACAGGGAGCAGCACCCTGACGAGTGTATCCGAGACCAGCACCACAGGCAGCAGCACCCTGACGAGTGTTTCCGAGAGCAACACCACAAGCAGCAGCACCTTGACGAGTGCATCCGAGACCAGCACGACACAGAGCAGCAGTGTCAGTTCTGGGTCTTCGACTTGGACCACGAGAAGCAGAACCACTTCGACCACCATGAGTACTACCGAAAGCAGCAACACTCCGACCACTGTGAGCACTGCGAGCATTCGGGCGCCCCCTCAAATAATTGGGTCGATCGGCTTGCTGTTCGTGGATCCGGAGGCGGTCCGGAACGGCCCAGATGCATTGAAGGTGTTGAACTCAATTGGCGCTACGATCGCTCAGGTGGTGGGCACGTCCGCGAGTTACGTCAGCACCTGGTTTGCGCAGTCTCGAAGGCTCCGGGCCCCTACGCGCGGGCTCTCCAGCGGCAGCCTTGTGGTGGAGTACAGCGTATCTGTGCCAGCGGATGCTCCGGCCGACATCCCGGATCTTGCCGCCATGCAGGCGTCCTTGGACAGTGTGGATATCAGCTCTTTCACGTCTTTGTTGCAAGCGAACATCGACGTGGAGGTCGGGGACGGAGTGTACGAGGTCGCCGTGACGGGAATCACGGCAATCGCCATCAACGTGCCGAGCGTCACCTTGCCAGAGGATACAATCGACGCTGGTCTCGAGGACGAGGCCAATTCGATTATTGTCGGCATCGTCATTTCAGGTGTGGTTTTTATCGGGTGCGGGTCTTTGCTTCTGTTGCGAGGCTGGCGCTCCCATCGTCGGCAAGCGGGGGATCATGTCAGGGACGCGGAGGTCCCGGGGATCCCGGTGGGCCCGTTGGGCGCCGCCGGGTCGGCGGCCAGCGCCAGGTCCGAGAAGCTCTCCGTCCGCTTCGAGGGCGACAAGCCGCCCGAGGGCGACCCCAGCTCGGCGAACGCGGGCTCGGCCAGCGCTGGAGCACAGGCCGCGGCTGCGAGGCCGCCCGCTGGCGTGGGCCCCCGCCCACGCCAGCGCTCGCCCAAGCCGCGCTCGCCCACGCCGCGCCCGAAGAAGCGCGGCAAGGCCCAGCAGGTGGCCGACGCCGGCGAGGCCGCGGCGGGCCCGGGCGGCGCCGCCAGGCAGCCTTCGCAGCGCGCGCTGGTCGAGGACCCGGATGAGATGCCGTTCGTGCAAGCCTCCAAGTGGATCGTGGTGCCTCAGCTGGGCCGGCTCTTCTCGGCGGCGGCGCCCGACTGCGACGACTCGGAGGGGTTCGTCGACGACAGCGACTCCCTGGACGACCAGTGCTCCATTGTGTCCGTGGACCTCGGGCACCCCGCGGACGAGGACCGCTCCGTGGTCTCCGTGGGCGGCAGCCGCTCCGTGGTCTCCGTGGGCGCCCCGTCGCTCGACGGCGCGTGCCCCGCGGCGCACGCCGGCAGGCGGATCTTCGGGCTGGACCCCTAACCCTGGTAACTCGCTGTATATAAAAACATGACATCGTTTAACAAGTCAGGAACTCAGGAGCACAGCTTGGTGCCTCGCAACTTGGTGGCACCACTGGCGGGCCAGCAGGTTCCTGAAATGCGTTCGCCATTTTTACTGTATTGTGGCGCAAGACTTGTGTCCTATTTTATTGCATCATGGCTGCTGGTGCAGGCAGTGTTTTTCGTAGCGGACAGCGCGCCGGTGAGCGCCCGCTAGGCACTGCCAGTATTTCGGTGTTTCACTACTTGTGTTTTTTGTTGCCATTGCGGTGTCGTTGCAAATCAGTAGCCGGCACGGCCAATAACACTTGGCATTTTGGTTGCATCGCTGTAGAGGCTGCGATAGCTGTCGGCCTTGCCCAGAGGAGGACGATGTGGAGCACAAGGAGCAGGAGTAGGAGTAGGATAGAAAACTACTTAAAGCATGCAAGGCAGCAGCAAGCATTCGAACGCGCCCCAACGAGGCGAATGCTCGATTGAGAATCTTGTAGCCAGTATATGTGAGCTGTGTTGCTGCAAAGCGCTGTATTGATCGTGGCAGCTTCCGCAAGCAATGCCTCGCAGACTGGCCGACTGGCGCTGCGACTCTTATCTCAATATGTAACTTGTTCGCTGTGGTTGCCGCCATCCTTGGCCAATCTAGCATGGGCCCAACTGCGGCATACTAGATAGAAGCCAGGGTGGGATTCCATGGGCCCTGGCCATCCCTTGTGGGCCAATAGAGCTCAGGGGAGAGGCCCCGCATGCTCCCAGCCCGATGGTCTCTCCGCGGGCTTGATTGAGCCTTCTCAAGCCAGCTCCAATTTTCTCATCGTACCATCGGTTTGATGGCAGTATCGTATAGGAGGTGGCAGGCTCAAACAAAAAATCTACCTAAACTGCTGTCGACACAATCTAACCATAGAGAGAGAGGAGGGGAGGTGGGTAAGGTTCTGCAACGTGTGTCCACAGCTTTCATCCTGTCGCTTTGCCTTCCAGGACTTGGTGCTGTTTTCTTGAAAAAATACACATGTCGCATTGCTACACTGTGCGCGCAGAGGCTTGATCATATTAGGCTTACCGTGCTATCGACGTGTGTTTTCGCCACGGCATGCCAAATTTGGGGGGGGGGGGGGGGGGACGGTTTGGGTGTTTTCGCCACGGCATGCCAAATTTGCAATACACTGTATTCGTGACGTGAGCCCTGCGCAATAGTTCTTGCACCCGTGGTTGCCTCCGCAGCCATGACGATCTGGGTTCCCCAACAGAAGTGACAACGCCAAGCCTGATACAAGCTCGCACTACTCTCACTGTGGCTTTGAGCGCGTTGCCGACGCGCACTTTCTTAGCATCAAGAGGAGGGAGGTTAGGAAGGCCAGTGGGGAACTGACGCGATCGCAGGGGACCGCCAGGCGATCCCAATTTGCCTCCCCGCGCTCCTGAACAACTGCTGCATGGCGTGCCAAGATGGACATAGCGCGCGACAGGCGCCAGACTGAGCACAGCACGCACCACTCTCTCTCGGGTCAAATCCTGCTCAGGCGAGTCACGAAGCTCCCAGGTCCTGGCCTGCCAGCCTCGCCTTAGCAAAGCCTTGGACAGGCCCTTGGCACCCGCGAGCAGCTCCAGGCACAGCGGCTGGGCTACCCCAGCCCGATCTCCTGGCACCGGCGTGCAAAGCCGCCCACCTGCCCTTTGGACAGCGCCACCTCCAGCTGCGCGTCGGCCTCGGCCAGCAGCAACTGCTTCCCACGGTCGATCGTTGCAAGGCGCCTCATCATTCGGGAGCCGTTCTCGTAGCCGCGCACGCTGAGGTCTGACATCCAGCGTCCTCGCCGCTTGATGGCTTTCAGCGTTCTCGTCTTGGTCAGCCAATCGTGCGAAGGCCCCGAGTGGCGCAGGATTTACGGCGTCAACTCCCAGCTGTCCAGCCCCACTTTCGCCGCCGCTTCCATGAATATGGCATTGAAGGCCGCGCCCGACCACAGAAGGAGGCGCTGCACCGGCTGGAGGCCGTGCGCGAGCTCTTCCACCAACAGCCCTACACGTGCTGTCCAGCAGGATGGAGTCGTTGAAGCCCTTGGTCTCTGTGGCCACGCTCTCTTCCTCTGGCCGCAAAACCAGCGAAGTGTAGCTGTAGTCGCCTCCTGCCGCTGGCTGCGCGGGCACCACGTGGTGCGCTCAGAGCGACAGCAGCTCGCCTGGCCGCAGGTAGGCGTCCGTCGCGAGCACCACGCCGAGCGCGGCCCGCCGCTGGTTCATGAACACCAGCGTCACCGCGATCGCCGCCACGGCCGCCCACGGCGCCGGCGCCCGCGTCACCCGCGGCATCAGCCGCCGCTAGCCTTGCAGCGCCCGCGCCACGCGTGGCAGCTTCAGCAAGCGCCCCGCATGGTGTAGCCGAGGATCCCGATGCCCTATGGCTGCCAGCAGCTTGGCCTTGCTGTTCGACGGTTCCTCGCCTCCTCCGCCTCCGCCTCCGGCTTGTACGCCGCGAACGGCGGCCGGGCCTTCAGGGAGAGCTCGGGCGCCTCCTAGGATCAAGTAGAAGGCGATGATGAGGGCGGGGGGGAGGGAGGGAGAGGGGAGAAGGGGGAAGGCACCATACCAGGGGGACACACCAACCACCACACAAGACCAAAAACGCACGCAAGAGAACCAGCATAAACGAGCCACGTCCGGCAAACGACGGCGACGGGAGAGATCGTCCGTGCGGAAGGGGTGTAGGTGACACAATTTCACACCACCAAGCTCCCACGGCGCAGTAAACTACGTCATACAAGTCATACAAGTCGGCCGCGTAGCCAGCCACGTGCATCTGATACAAATCTCCAGCAGTTCGTACAAGTCTCACGACTCCACTGCCATTTTGAATTTTCATGCAGTACAAATCCTTGGGAATCTCATGCAGTTCGTACAACTCTCACGAAGCCACTGCATCCTATGGATTCTCAGATCATGCAAGGAGTCCACATGCAGTATTGAATTCTCATGCAGTTCTCCAGCCTCTGAGGAGCTCAGCGGCCAGGCGCGGCCGCCGCTGCTGCGCCCGGCGCCTCCGCCCCACCCGCCGGGCCAGGCGGCGCGGCCGCCGGGCCATCGTCCGCACCACCACCTTCGGCCGCAGCGGGGCGCGCCAGCACGCGGCCGGACGGCCTGGGACGACTCAGCGCCGCCGCCTGCACCACTCCACCCCGGCCGCCCGCGGCGCCCTTGCCGCCCTTGCCGCCCTTCTTGCCTTTGGAGGAGCCCTTCGAGCCCTTGCCCTTGCTCTTGCCTTTGCCGCCGCTCTTGCCGCCATCGCCTCCCTTGCCGCCCGTGCCGCCCTTCCCCTTGTTCTCCGGGCGCTCGAGGTAGAGCAGCACCCTGGGGCGCTCGGGCTCATCTGGGCTCCGGGTCTGCTGGCCCCGCACAACCAGCCCTGACGCCCGACGCATCAGGGCGTCGAGTGGCCGCAAGGCACTCTCCACCAGCAAAGACTCGGTGCCGAAGGCCATCGTGGTGACGAACGTGCCAGGGATTCTCTCCCAGTTGGCCCCGTCCTCGCTCCACTTGCTCTGATCCCAGACCCCCGTCACTAGGCCGGGCGTGGCAAGGACGCGCCAGAGGCTGCGCAGGGCGCTGGCGCTCTCGCTCTCCACAACGCCGCTCATGGGCTCATCCAACGGCCACGCAACCCCGAGGTGACGCGCGGCCTCAGAGCACACCGCCTCAGGCCAGCCCTCGCGAAGCTCCCTCCAAAGCTGCTGACCATGCTTGTTCATATAGAACTGGTCGGCCACCGTGAAACCTTCACAGACCAGCACAGTCGAGCGGAGGACAACCTTGAGGCTGGACTCGTGACGCGCCGACGCCCGCTCAAGGCGGTCCAAGCGCTCCTCGTGAGACGCGAGCGCCTGGTCGACCTGGGCCCTGCGAGCGGCAGCCATCGCGATGGCAGGCCGGGGGAGGGCAAGCGCGCCTGTTGTCTTTGAGGCTGCGGCGACGAGCAGAGCAATGAGGCAATGGGACAACGATTTCGCATCATGGACAGACACGTGCGCACACAATGTGTATGGCGGTCGGCAATGGGAGGGGCAGGGCCGGGGGGGGAGCAAGGAGGAGAGGGGGAGGGGAGGGGGAGGGGGGGAGGAGAGGGGGAGGGGAGGGGGAGGGGAGCGGGCGGGAGACAGAGCGGGCAAAGCAGGAGTACCGACCACCACCACCGAGGGGTACACGAGGGAGGACACAGGAGAATAACACACACACACCACCACGGCTTCCGCATATCACAAACTCACACCATGCAAACTTTTTTTTCTGTTTTTTGTTTGTCTATTTTTACATTTTTTGTTCTTTTTTTTTTGTGGTTTGCGGTTTCTTTTTTTCTTTTCCTATTATTTTTTGTTTTCTTTTTTCTTTTCTAGTTTTCCTGTTTTTTGGTTTTTTTTTTTTTTTATGTTTTTTGTTTTCTACTCTTAGTTTTTTATTTTTTTGCCCGGCTGCGAGGGCGTGGGGGCGGCGTGACCTGCGTCAGTAGGCGCAGGTCTGGCACATGACGGAACAGTAGAACCGTCTTGCCGCCCCCGCGACGTCACGTAGGATCGCCGCCTGGCACAATGGGTGCAGCCACACGAAACACAGACTGCTGCGGGAAACCGTTGACCACCCGAGGGAAGGAGGAGGAACACCGCCAGCTTTCGATCCAACACCCGGCAAAGAGACGCGGCGTCGAGGGAAGGCCCCCGGGGGGCCACCGCCAGCTTTCGATGTAACGCCCGGCAAAAACGCGGCCTCGAGGGATGGCCTTAACCGTGGCCCGCGGGGCGCCGCAGCGCGAGCCTCAAGTTAGCTCCCGGGCCAGGATGCCCACGACCTGGAGCGCGACCCCGGGCTTTGGCTGCCGCGCCCCTCCCGCGCCCGGCGGCCATCACCTTGGCTCCGCCCTTGGCTTTCGGTTTCGCTTTTGGCGCGACTGGGGCAGCCACAGGGGCCACTGCCGCGGGCGCCAAAGGATCCGGGGGGGCCGGCACGCGCACGCCGCGACACCATTTCTCATGTACGCCACAAGGGCGAGAAAGCATACCAGGTGGATCAGTGGGCTCAAACACCTTACCACATTTGGCACACGTTCTATTACCCCTTCCTCATACTCCCTCACCCCATTACGTGTGAATTTCACATCAGAAAACAAAGCGAAATCCCATTTCCTACCATTGAGCACTGAGAGGACAGCACCAATCTTGATGGCAGGGCTCTCGTTGCCACGTTCTGTCCCCAGCTTCCGCGTGTTCCAGGTTCCACCTCGGAAAAGCCATGCTGTGTGCGCCTTTCGGAGACGTCCCTCCCGCCGTAGCATGGCAAGTTTATGCATGGCACGGCACTGCATAGCACGGGAAGCCTTCTTATTCTTGATCCGCTTGTGAGCCCGGATCCTCGCAACACGTCGCTGGCACCGAGTTGTGCCTGAAGGAAACGTAGGGCCATCTTCAGACACAGTCGCCGAGACGCCTGTCAAAGTGAGCACCGACACCGACGCGCGTTGGCCAGACGAGTCGTCGGTCTGCCCCCCAGGACCCGCGACTGGCACCGAAGCCCCAGCCGGAGCCGAAGCCCCCACGGAGGAAAGAGCCGAAGCCCCAACCGCCTCCGCGGCGTGATTGTCCCGGGGAGGGTGTGCACTCCCGCCCCCCCACCTACCAGACGGCACAGGGGATGGCCGGCCCGAACACATCCAAGAGAACCCAGCCACGGCGGCAATCGACCATACCCCTCCAGAAGCTCCAGCAGGGGCACCCCTAAAGGGGTTGGGGTTAGCCTCATCCATGGCCCCCACCACCCAGAACAAGTGAAAGAGCACAATAACAAAGACACCTAGCGATGGGTTGGGTAGGACACACACCCGAGAACACATAACAAGAACACAGACAAGTAGAGGTGGGGAGGATGAGTTTACCGACGAGCGGCCACGTGGAGGCCTGTGCACCTGCTCGTCCATGTACTCGACCAGCATGTCCATGTACTCGACCAGGGCCATCTCCAAGTCTGCGTCGCTCTCCACCTCGAGACCGTGAGTCATGCAGCAGGCGTCGAACCGCGCCAGCTTCCTCTCATAGTCCTGCTTCGTCTTCAGCGTGACGCTCTCCTCCTCGAGGGTGGTCAGTCCACCAGTGCCGACCCTCCGTACCTTGGCTCGATCCCTCGCCCCCGCCAATGGCGGCGGCTGCACACGGCCGATTTGGAGCACACGGGATCGGCGAGACCTCGTCGATGAACGACGCCGTGGCGCGGTCGAGCACTTCTGGTCCTTTCCCGCTCTGCGCGTTGGGGGCAGCTGTCCCGCAGCGGCCGGCAGCCACAGCGTCGGAGAGTGGGACGCGCCGCGCCAGCCTCTCGTCCTCGGCAGCACTCTCAAGCGGGCCTCCAGGCGCGGCTGCACCAGCCGTCGCGGAGGGCGTTGAGGCCGCTGTCGTCCTCTGCAAATCGCCAGGCCCGCCTGCGCCAGCCTTCGCGGCCGGCACTCGAGCCCGCCTCAGCACCTGGGTCACCCGCTCTCAGTGCAGCAGCAGTAGCAGCAGCAGCCTTCTCAGCAGGCGAGTCGAATCATCGGCTAATTTCATCCGACGGGTTCAACTCGCTGGCGACCCATCGCACACTGGTGCGGGAGAAAGTGGACAAGGACAGCGCGTGCCACTTCTGGGCAAGACGAGCACAGGCGGTGATACTGGACTACCCTTCTCCAGACTCAAGACCATACCCATGTTGTCGCACAGAAACAGGTGATGACAGCGATGATGGATGCGTTGTCGACACCTCCTTCTCCACTCTAATAACACTGCGCGTAATTCTTTGATGGGAATACCCTCCTTCCTTCATGCCTCCTTGCTTGTATTGTCCTCCATCTCGCCTCCTCGACAAACGACATGGGGAGCTCGGAGAAGTGATGGTTGATGGTGATCTGCACGTCAACGTGTTCCGGGGGTTCTACGAGCTCCACCAGCCTTCCGAGGTCCTCTGATTTAGGAAGCGCATGGTGAAGAACGTGTGTCTTTTAAATACTCAACCCCCTGTCCCATGAGGTCCCCTAGAGTATTCTCAGAGTTTGATGTGTTTCACGAGTTGTGCGACACTGTGTCCAGTGTCGCTGGGGTGGCGTCCCACAGCATGCGAGCATGACTGTACTGACGCCGATGTGGCTCAAGTGCGCAAAACATCCGGGAGGAGAGGGACCTCCCGCTTGTCGCCCCGCGCGCCCCCAGGCCTCCAGAGTCCCTCGATCCGCCCGCGAACCCGTTTCACATGGTAGCCGGAGCGTGATGGTTGGGCAGGGACAGGGGCCGACGGGCGCCGCCGAGGGAGGCGAGCAGCCCCTCCAGCCCGACGAGGTGGAGCGTGCTGCCAGAGCAGCACTAGCAGCAGCAGCAGCAGCAGTAGCAGCACCAGCGCCCGAGGTTCCCAGCGGAGACCAAGGGGCGCGAGCAGAGACAGCAACGGCAGGGAGCGGGAGCCGAGGGACAGGCCGCGCGGGAGCTCCCTTGCAGGCAACGACAGCAGAGGAGGCAGACCCCTGGCTGCAGGGGGACCCGTGGAGCGACGCGGCTGGGAACAACCATGCCGGCTGGTGGAATTCGTGGAGAGAATGGTGGGGCTCAGCCAGCTGGTGGACCGGCTCGCAGGTGAATGAGTATGCAGACCACTGGTGGACCAGCTCACCGGCGAACGAGGGCGAGGTCTGGGTCACCATCCAGAGGCCGCGGCAGCCGCCGCTCCCCCACGGGCTGATGCGCGGAGCGGCCGGGAGCGATCCCGCCACGGCGCAGGCCCCTCCGTCAGCACCTGCGCCGGCGACGCCGCCGGCACGGCCGCCCGCGGTGACGATGGCCCCAGCGCAGCCGACCCAGCCACTCGCAGCAGCAGCGACGGAGCTGACGGTCGAGGCGACGCAGGTTCCGCCACCGCCACGGCCGTGGGCACCCACTGACGGAGGATCGACGTCCACGTGGCGCCCGTCAGACACGCAGGGCCCTCAGCCGTGGGGAGGCTTCGAGCATCTCGAGACCTACGTAGTGGCCCTGCGGCGATGGAGCAGAAGGACGGGCCTGCCGGCAGAGCAGCAGGCGGGCAAGGTCATCGACGGCTTGCCCGTGGACATGCAGGAGAGGCTCCTGCACTACGCGGAGGAGCTCGACGCCCCCGGCGGCATCGAGGTCCTCATCGACTTCCTGAAGAGGTGCCGGGGCGACCAGGACGGCGACGAGGCCAAGGAGAGCTTCAGGCTGGCACTGGAAGACACCGAGATGAGAGCGGGGGAGTCGTACACCCAGTACGTGATGCGCCGGGACCTGCAGGTGAAGTCGGCGAAGAGGTACGGGCTCGAGCTCCCAGAGCAGGTCCAGGTGCAGCAGCTGAGGAGTGGAGCGAACCTGAGTGAACAGAATGCGATCAACCTGCTCTCGATCACCCAGGGCCGTGAGGATCTGGAGTCGATCAAGCAGGGCTTGAAGAAGATGGACGTGAAAAAGAAGAGCAGTCAGAAAAAGTCGAGGGTGTACGCGGTCGGACACGACGAGGACGAGGACGACGAGGAGGTGTTCGGCAGCAGCGAGGTCTACCTCGAGCTGGAGGAGGACCTCATCCTGGACACCGAGGACGCGCTGGCCTTCTACGAGGCGATCGCCAACCAAGAGTTGGACGAGGACCAGGCGGCGGCCGTCCTGGCCGCGGTGCTGGACGAGAAGAGGACCAAGGAGGGCCGGCCTCGGAAGTGGGCAGAGTCGCGAGAGCTGAAGAAGGCCATTGCCCGGGACCGCGACTTCTTCGACTCCAAGAGAGCCGGAGGCCGGGCGGCGCCACGCCCGCCAGCGGGCAAGCAGCGCCTCAGCATCGCCCGCCTCAAGGAGAGGACGCGGTGCGCCAACTGCGGTCAGAAGGGGCACTGGCGCAAGGAGTGCGCCAATCCGTACAAGCCGAAGCAGATTGAGCAGCGGCCCAAGAAGGAGCTCGGGGGGAAGTCGCTCTACGTGGCGGCGGACTTGCTGGACGAGGGCGACGGCGCCTTCCTCGTCGGAGGACCTCGGATTCGGGAGCTGTTTCGGAACGTGCTGATCGGCGAGTCCTGCGATCGAGGCCAGGTGGGCCACGGGCGAGTGCTAGCCGACCAGCCTCTGCGAGGCCAGGTGGGACTCGCGGAGGAACGAGGCGATCCCGACGGCGGAGAACTGGGGCCAGGTGGGCCTCGTTCGAGGTCAGAGGGAGCAGCTCCCGATGGCAGAGAGCTGGGGCCAGGTGGGCCTCGTTCGAAGTCAGAGGAGGCGATCCTCGGCACGTTCATCCTGGACATCGAAGGCGACGAGCCGGAGGGCATGGTGGACACGGCGGCCGGGCAGGCGCTGGTGGGCGAGAAGCAGCTGAAGGTATTGCAAGAGAAGTACTACAAGAAGGGCTGGCGAATCCCGGTGAGAAAGACCGACGGCAACAGCAGCGCCAAGGGGATCGGCGGCCGCTCCAGGGTCGTCGGGGAAGCGATGGTGCCGGTGACCAGTGCGGGGATCCGGTGCCTCATCCTCTTCAGAGTGATCGCGGAGGACGTCCCCCTCCTCCTGCCCGTGCGCTGGATGGAGAGCCTGGGGGCCGTCGTGAACCTGGCCGAGGACAAGATCACGCTGCGCTTCGAGGGGCTCGACCGCACCGTCAAGCTCACGAGGCAGAGGTCCGGCCATCGCACCATGGCGCTGCTGGACGAGAGCCTCCCGGGGGACTTCGACATTCCTGAGGGGGCCCGGCGCGACTGGCCGGGCCTCGAGAATGACACGTTTCGAGTGTACAGGCCTTCCTCCTTTGCCATCCTCCCCTCCTCTACGCCCGAGGCCTCAGGAGAGCCCGTATTGGACCCCCTCGAACTCGAAACCCCCGGGATCGTAGAAGGGAAGGGGGGGATCGGCTCGGCAGGATTCCAGGATACCCAATTCAAGGACTCAAGAGGCACTACGGGGAGATCACGAAGTACAAGAGAAGGAGAAGCTGAGGAGGATACAGGTACCAGAGGAGGTGGCACAGGGAGAGGAGGCGGCGGAGAGACCAGGAGGCTACTCTCGGAGCTCACCTCAACCGTCGTACAGACCCGTGGGCTCGAGAGCACGTCCGATTTCCTCGATTCATCTCACGGGCCAAGAGACAGGAGAGAACGAGAAAAGGCTCGATTCTGAAATAAACGATAGTGAGAAAAAGAAAAAATAAACAACAAAACAAAGAAAGAAAAACAAAAAAAAAAATAAAAGTAAGGAAAAAAATGGCAAAAAGAGAACAAGCAAAAGAAAAAAAAAAAAATAGCAGGGAAAAACAAAAAAAGGAGCCTCTGTCACGAGAAAGCCATGGCGTCCGGGAGAGCTCGCACGCCAGCGGTGAGGAGAAGCTCCAGTCTGAAGCGAGAGGGGGGCTCGAGGAAGAATTCAGCACCAGGGACTCCCCGGCCGACAGTCACCTTCTCGGAGCCGATGGACACCAGCTGGGAGAGGCTGCCGGGGTCCGACCTGGAGTCCGAGGGGAGCGAACAGTCATCCCCGCCGCTGCAGGACGGCGCGGCATCGACCCGTCCCACACCTCCGTCGCCGCCCCAGCCGACGTCAAGGCCCCACATCGGCCTCCAGACGAGCTCCCTGAGGAAGGCCTGGAAGCGGATGACGGTCAAGCTGATGCACGTGGCCGACGTGGGACAGGCGACCAAGATGATACAGGAGATGCGCGACGAGGCGACCGGGAAGATGAACGCTCTGGAGTGCCCTCATCCACCCTGGGCCCACTGGGAGTCAGGCAACCAGCACATGCGCTACGTCAAGTGCCTGAGGTGCTCGAGCATGATCTGGAGAAGGGACCTCACGCACCGCGAGAAGCAGGCCCAGCAGCTCAAGAAGGTCGAGAGGGAGGCCCGGCGGGCGGCGAGGACCAAGCAGCTGGAGACGCCGCCTTGGGAGCCGCCGAAGGTCGAGGGTCGCAGCAAGGAGGGCGTCAAGAGGGCGGCCAGGGCTACTCCAGCGGCGTCGTCCGGTTCGGCCGACACGACGGTAGAGACGAGCAGCTCCGACCTCAACCAGATGATGAAGGCGATCCAGACCAACAGCGAGGTGGTATCGCAGCTGGCGCTGGCGATCCAGCAGCTCGTGCAGAAGGGGACCTGAGGGGCTCAGAGAGCCGAAGGAGGATCAGGGAGGGGGACCAAGGGAGCTCGGGGATCCAGGACGATCGGGACCTCCAGGGACCCACTCCAGGAGGATCTTTCTGTGCGGAACCCGGGGAAGGAGGGGGAATCTGGCGAGCAGCCTCTGTCGCACGATCCCGCTGTCTCGGCAAAAGTCACCGAGACAGCAGCTTTAGAGCCTCGGGCATATGGTGGGACACTAGGGAAGGTCGGACGGTCACGCTTGATGAGGTTTCCAGGGCCCGGGGCTGGGAATCCCACCGGCTCGATCCAGAAGAAAAATGCCGCCTGATGGCCCAAAAGGGCTGCTACTTAGTTCGTCGGCCCGACCCGGGCGACCTAGGCGAGTGGCTTTCGGACTGGGTCAGGATCCGCTGCTCAGGAGCGTCAAGAAACACCCTCTACGACTCCCTCTCCTCAGACTTCTCGGCGCGGCAGTTACAGCTCGCCATCGCCAACGAACCCCTGGACCACACCACCGTAGAGGCGTGGACAGCTTCGGCGTCTACGCACGTACCTCCGCCCGGCTCGAGTTCGAGGACTCCGGCTGGACCGGCGTCTCCGCTGGAAGGTATATACTCCCTTGGCCGGGCCCCCTCGATCTCAGGATTGGTTTTCTCCCAGGAAAGTGAGTGCCTGGTTCCCAGGGAGGTCCGAGACGCCGTGTTGGCCGCAGGAGGGGAGGGACCGGTGAGGAAGCAGCGGAAGCGGCGGAAGAAGCTCGTCCAGGACTGGCTTTTGGGATCCGGCCGCAAACTGATCTTGGAACTCTTTTCGGTCCCACGGGTCGCGGACAGCCTAAAAGGGCAGGGCTATCCCGTTTCCAAGAGCCTGGATTTACGGACCGGCTATGATCTCGGGTCTCCGTCAGGGGAACGTGCGATGTGGAGTATCATAGAGCGAGATCGGCCCGAGGTCATAGTCATGAGCCCTGAGTGTCTGGCCTTCTCCGTTGCCCGTCGTCCCAGTTGGCACCGACTCAAGGGAACCGACCTCACAGACCCCGAGACCGCCGGCCTCAAGTTCATGTCCCTGTGCGTTAGAGTGGCCGAATACCAGATGGGTCGGGGCCGTGGTTTCCTTCTTGAGCACCCCGAGGGTGCCAGCTCCTGGGAAATGGACTCGGTGCGGGAAATCTTGAATCGGCCGAGCGTCGTGTCGGGGGTTGCCGATCTCTGCCAGTACGGTTTGTCCGTGAAGGGAGGAGAGCCCAACAAGAAACCAACCAGGTTCATGACTAACCGTGCGTCTATTTTGCAGCCCCTCCTGCTCAGGTGCGACGGGAGTCATCCGCATCGTCAGCTCTGTGGCAGGGCCCTCACGCGAGCGGCCCAGAACTACCCCCCGGGACTCGTCCAGGCCATGTGCGAGGGAATCCTGGAGTCAGCTCGCATCGTCGCCCTCGGGCACCGGGAGGAAACCCTGTGGTCCGGTGTTTGGGAGGATCCCGAGTGGCTGGCCGAGAGAAGGGTGACAGGGGTCCCATCCCCCAGACCAATCGACCGACAGGTTGCCTCCTTTCCAGCCCAAGAGGACCTTGGCTCGGACGACGAGCCCGAGGAGGGCGAGGGGAGGGAAGGACTCGGGTCTAGTCAGAGAGCGGGGAGGCAGGCCGGGTCAATCAGTCGAAGTCAGCGCCTGGAGGTTTCCCGGACCCACGTGAACCTGGGCCACCCGTCAAGGGACGCCTTCTTGAAAATGCTGCAAGTTGCCCAGGCTCGGCCCGAAGTTATAGAATACGTCAAGCACGAGTTTCGTTGCGAGCAGTGTGACAGCCACACCCGACCGTCGTGGAGGCGTCGAGCCGCCGTTCCCCGAACCTACCGGTTCAATCGGCTCGTTGCTGTGGACTGTCTGTTCGTTACGATTCTCAGCACTAAGATGACGGTCCTGAACATGCTCGATCACGGCACTAACTTTCAGCTGTGCCATCTGCTCGGTCCCGGGGAACCACTGACGTCCGAGAATATCTGGGAGGCTTTTGACAAGAGCTGGATCAGGATCTTTGGCCCCCCCGAGGTCGTCATCAGCGATGGAGGATCAGAATTCCTGGGCGCGTTCGGCCGTGGCTGTGAGCATGCAGGCGTGTTTCAGCATGTCTGTGACGCCACGTCTCCGTGGCAGAACGGCCGGGCGGAGCGACACGGAGGATGGATCAAGAACGCTCTGACGAAGGCCTCCGATCATGTCCAGCCGACGTCTCATGCCGAGGTCGAGTTGTTGCTTCATGAAACAGTGTCCGCCAAGAATCGATACTACCACCGGTCTGGGTACTCTCCGTACCAGCTTGTCTTCGGAGAGAACCCCAGACTGCCAAGGTCTCTTCTCAGCGACGAGGGAGTAGACGATATCGGCCTAGCAGATGTCCAAGCAGAGGCCGCCACGGAAGATAGTGCGGCCAGTGCGTTCGCCAGAAAGCATCAGATCCGTGAGCAGGCCAAGAAGGCCTTGATGGCGGCGGACGCCAAGTCGCGTCTCGCCGAGGCCCGGAGATCTCGACCCCATGTCGATCGCGTCTTTCTGCCTGGCCAGTGGGTGTACGTGTGGCGCAAGGTGACAGGGGTGAAGACTCACGCGCTGCAACGAGATCGGTGGGTCGGCCCCGGGGCCGTCGTCTTTCACAAGGGAACCACAGTTTGGATCGCGATGCGAACCAAGCTATGGAAGTGCTCGGTCGAACAGGTCCGAGAGGCGACGCGTGCCGAGGCGCTCGGAGCCGAACTCGTGGATACCCCGGAGTTTCGGGCCCTTCAGGCCGAAGTTCGCAACCCAGGCAAGAAGGTGGGGGCTCTGGACGTCGAATCCGAGGGTTCCCCCCCGGACGAGGCCTGGGACGGTCAGGACACGATAGGGGCCGAGGCGGGGGGACCGGTCACTACTGGCGGAGGAGGCGGAATGGCGTCGGCTCGTCCCTCGGAGCCCGCGGAAGCCTCGGTGGAAGCCCGGTCCCCTCTTCCGACTATTCCTGAAAGCAGCGAGGTTGTGAGCCTGGGAGACCAGAGCGAGCTTCCCGAGGACCTGCGCCGAGCTTTGGATGCCCCGTACCCCCTCCGTCCCGCTCCTGACCTGGGCCGATTTGTCAGGACCGAACCCCTCGAGGACAAAGAGGACAAGTTGCATCCCCCTCCCGGCCTGGAAGAACCCCCTAGAGCTCGCCCCCGAGTAGAAGGCAGTCCCAGCCCGTCCCCCGCTGCCTCTTCCGCTCCCAGTCTAGTCAGGACCATCGACGGCTGTCGAGGCGATTCGAATCCAGGAGCTTCAGTCGAGCCTGAAAGAGCCAGAGAGAGATCTCCGCGAGTTGCCGCCCGACCAGCTGAGGGATCGACGTCTCGACACACTCGGCGAGCCGGGTCGCCCATGCGCGGGTTGCTCTCTCGCATCCACGTTATCCCCGCGGGTCCCGGGGTGACGCCGGTGGAGCTCCGAGAGTCGGCCTCCGTGGCCGAGAGGGTTCAGGAGTGGGAGGCCCAGAGGAGTTCGGCGGACGACGCCAGAGGCGACCCCGGCACTTTGATCGAACTGGCCTGCGGAGAGGAGGAGGGCCTGATCGAGCTCAGGGAAGAGGACGGGACTGACGAACAGGACCGGATGCTCCTCCAGGAGTTGGCGACCTGGGGTCCGGGTCCCGGGGACGAAGAACACGGTCCGACCTCCTCGTTCGCCACGGCCGGACCGACTCCAGGTGGGTCCCGGCGGGGCCAAGAGGTCGTCTGGAACAAACTCAGTCCAGAAGAACGAGAGGAGTTCAAGAAGGCGGACGCGGCCGAGTGGTCCGCCATGACCGCCACTAAGGCAGTGAGAGTGGTCTCCCCCGCGGAGGCGACCCTGGTCCGCCGGAGGGATCCATCAAGGATTCTCTCGTCGCGCATGGTCCGTCGGTGGAAGCCGCAGGAGGGCACGGGAGCCAGCGAGAAGGCAAAGTCACGCTGGTGCGTGAGGGGGTATGCCGATCCTGACGCGGAGTCTCTGCACGTGTACGCTCCGACTCCTCAGGAGGAGGCTGTGTTGGTTGCTCTCCAGCTGATAGCTGGCAAGAAGTGGAGGCTTCAGATAGCGGACTGTAAGAACGCCTTTTGCCAGGCGGACCCCCTCTCCCGCCCCAACGGGAAGATATATGTCGAGCCATGCGATGGCGTTGACGTCCCCCGGGGGGCCCTCCTGGAACTTGTGGCCCCAGTCTACGGCCTGAACGATGCTCCGATTCGCTGGCACCAGACCTTGACCAATCACCTCAAGTCCCTGGGGTTTCGGCGCTCCCTTTTGGAGCCGTGTCTTTGGGTTGCCCACCATGCCTCGGGTAGTCTCAGGGCTCTTGTGGTGATTGAGGTCGACGATCTTATTGTCTCTTGCGAACCCTCATATGAGAGTGAGCTCAAGAAGGTGTTGACCGGTCGTTTCCGTTTCGGTAAATGGCAGGTCGGTGAGGCCGAGTACGCAGGGAGAAGGATCCGCCAGCAGTCTGATGGGCGCATTCTCGTCGACCAGGAAAAATATATCCTGGAGCAGGTCCGTCCCATGAGACTCGACAAGGAGCGTGTTAAATGTCCCGAGGAGCTGCTCGATGCAAGGGAGCTCCGAGACTATCGCGGCCTGGTGGCGAAGATTCTCTGGGCGGCCCGCCAGTCTCGTCCCGACGTGTCCGGATCCGCCTCGATGCTGAGCGCCGAATGCCCACAGGTCAAGATAGCCTCGGCTCTCATGGCTAACAAGGTAGCTCGCCACCTCCGGTGCACAGCCAGCTCCTGTCTGACGATTTGGCCCCTGGACCTGAGTGCCGTGACCATGGTCACATGCAGTGACGCGGGGGGCCCCGGGTCCGCTAAAAGAGACGGTGCTCAAGGAGGCTGGCTCGTGATGCTAGGAGATTCCAGGATCAAGGATAATCGTCGTTCCCGTGTTTCGTTCTTGTCTTGGAGAAGTCAGAGGCTCCGTCGAGTCGTTTCGTCCACGTTATCGGCGGAGACGTTAAGTCTTTCCGGGGCTCTCGCCGAGGGACAGTGGCTGTGGCTCGTTTTCCGGGATGCCCTGTATGGAGACGTGAGGGGGCCTGAATGGTGGAACTCAGGGACGTCCTGCCCCTTTGCTGTCGCGCTCGTCGACGAGTGTGCCATCGCCGAGGCTTCCGAGGGCGTCGCCGTAGTCGATGCGAAGTCCCTCTTCGATACGCTGTCCAAGAACTGCGGGGGTGCTAAGGCTGACCGCCGCAACGCCATCGAGATGGCGATAGTCCGGGACTCGATGACAGCCGAAGGGACAGTGGTGAGGTGGGTTCCACACTGCAAGATGCCAGCTGACGCTCTGACCAAGGTCGACCCAGGACGAGGGAATTTTGCTCTGACTGATCTCATGCACAAGGGGATGCTGGCGCTAACGGACGAGTCTGGGTCGCTCGATGAGCGATCTCTCAACCTGTCGCTGAAGTCCCGGACTCGGAATGCATCGCGACAGGTTCTACAGAGAGAATCCCAGTCCACCGAGGCTGGCGAAGACGCAGAGGAGGCTGAGGAGGAGAGAGGAGAAGGAGGACGCCCCGCCAGGACGCCGAGGAGGTCACCCTCGCGTCCGCCGGGCCTGCCGGGCCCAGTACCCTCCGACCCGGGCCCGGAACCGAGGGGGGGAGAGGGAAAGGGCGTGGTCCGTGGATCTTAGGGGCCTCACCTTCCTGTCTGCTGCTGTGATGGACCTCATGGGACACTAAAGTAGGGGGTGCTGTCTTTTAAATACTCAACCCCCTGTCCCATGAGGTCCCCTAGAGTATTCTCAGAGTTTGATGCGTTTCACGAGTTGTGCGACACTGTGTCCAGTGTCGCTGGGGTGGCGTCCCACAGTATGCGAGCATGACTGTACTGACGCCGATGTGGCTCAAGCGCGCAAAACATCCGGGAGGAGAGGGGCCTCCCGCTTGTCGCCCCGCGCGCCCCCAGGCCTCCAGAGTCCCTCGATCCGCCCGCGAACCCGTTTCACAGGTCGTCGCCAAGAAGAGTGCACACGTCCGAGCAACGCCAAGACCACGAAGTACCACTGCAACCGGACTTGATTGGAGAGGATACGCGGGAGGACAAAAGACCCTTCCCGAGGGGCACACTGCCATAGGAATGTAGGGGGCATGGGTCGCGAGACACAGGACACAAGGGCACCCTCGACTTGGCAGGGTCGACCTACGAATCAGAGCCGACTCTACTCCCTGGACCTCTCTCGGGGTGCGCCCTGAGCACAGCTTCGGGGCGCATCCGGCGTTGGCGGCGACGAGGAACCTCCAGGAGGCCCAACAAGGGAAACACGAGGCCAGGGTAGAGCGGCATCAATACATACCTTCCTCCTCTGAACCGACGGCGTTGGACTCTTGAACGCCAGCGGCGGGGGCGCAGGTACGTCGACACGCGACACGAACCTGCCGACCTCCCAATCTGGCGCTGACAGACACTTGAACACATTCCTTCTGGAAAAACTGTTTACACAGACCACTCGCCATCGCTCGGACGTCCATTCCCTGTGCATGTATCGATTTCGTGCGTGGCTTTTTCGCCAAATGATCAAGGATGCTCCTCGATGGTCCTCGCCGAAGGAAAGATGGGGACGTAAGACTCGGGTATGGGGGACTCGGCTTGGCCCGACGGGGCCCTCATAAAAATGACGAGGCCCCAGAAGAAACTTGAGACGCGACCTCCCGCTGCAAACATCCCACGAAAACCGGACCGCCGAAATCTACGACGCGCTCGTCAAGAAAGGCCGGTAAACCCGAGTTCCGGCTTACTCCAGTCTTACGTTTCTTGAGCAGGGACCCGCCGTCCCGGCATTGCCTATAGTCCTACCACCGAATGTTCTTAGATCTCCAAGCCGTTATAAGAGCAAACACGGTGTTCTTAGAACATGAACCCGATGTGCTCCAACAAGACAGACTCCGCCAGAAACGTCCTGAGAACATCTCGTGGGAACCGCACAAAGGTTCTTAGAACATGGTTTGGTGGGCCTATGGGCGCGCCAGAACGCTTCGCCACTGCTCGAGTCCTGCGCTTCCCCGACGGAGCCCCCCGACTGAGTTGGGCGCCCGAGTTATCCGGGGTAACTCGGGTCCGGGGTAACTCGGGTTTGGATTCCCGAAAGACGAACCCGAATTAGCCCTGACCCGAGTTACCCCTGATGACTCTGGGGCTCTGGACGCCCGAAATATCCGGGGTAACTCGGGTCCGGGGTAAGTCGGGCTCGGATTCCCGAAAAACGAACCCGAGTTAGCCCTGACCCGAGTTACCCCTGATGATTCGGGGCTCTGAAGTCCTGCGCTTCCCCGACGGAGCCCCCCGACTGAGCCTGGCCCGCCGCGAGCGCCCGCGCCCGCGCCCCGCGCGGGCGCCAGCCCGCCGGCGGGGTGCGCCGGCGCCGCCCGCGGCGGGAGCGCCACGCGGGCCTCGGCGCGCTGCCCGGGGCTGTAGCCGCGAGGGCGGGCCGAGAGGGGGGTGGAGGGAGGGGTGGAGGGAGGGTGAGGAGGGTTGGAGGAGGGGGGGAGGGAGGGAGGGGGGAGGGAGGGATGGAGGAGGGGGGGGAGGGAGGGGGGGGGAGGGAGGGGGTGGTGGGAGGGGGGGGGGGGGAGGGAGGGGCGGGGAAGGAGGGGGGGGGGAGGGAGTGGCGGGGAGGGAGGGGGGGGAGGGCTCTCCGGAGGGCCTCCGAGTCCCCAAGGTTGGGGTTAAGTCGGGCCTGTCCGTCTACAGGGGGAAAATTCAGAAATAGTCAAAAAATAGTCGGGGGGGGCTATCTTTTGGTGTACTTCCGAGCATTCGGGGAGCATTTTTCTAGTATGTTGCATCTTTCGCCCAAAATCCCCCTCTGTAGGGTTGTGGATGCCACGACAATTGACACCCTGACAGTCCTATCCTTGAATTTAAAATGTGTTCGAGATGTCGGAAGAATGTTCGAAAACTGTTTGACACATGTTCTTTACATGCTTAAAACATGTTTAACACGTGTTTTAGACATCTGGAAATTATCTGGCAACATGTTTCCTCTCCATTGATCGTCCTCCCCAAGGGGATGAAGCAACGATGGGACGCACAGAGACATACTAATGCTATGTCCTCCTTGGAGGCCCGCGTCCGACCCGAACGTATAGTATGCCCATCTTGTAGTATGTCGTTTCCCGAGCGGTGTGGCCAGAAAGCGACCTCCACGACGCATATACTGTCAGATTTCTCGGTGCGCGCGTCGCGCCTGGGGTGGCGACGCACACATAGTAGAAGTATGTTGGTGTGACGCCGAAGCGACCCTGCTCTGGGTTACAAGTGCGCGGTCTGCAAACCTCCTGGGAAGCCCCAAAGCCTGGAGAGCCGCAAGGGCGCCGCACACCACGCAGGGTTGACCCCGCCTCGTAGCCCAGGGTAGGGGCGTCTTTGTATGCCCTTGACAAGGAAGCCCCCCCCACGATGGGGAGGGCCTTCGAGACTCGGAGGCCCGACGACGTCGGGGAAGGAAACCAAAAACTGCAATGCAGGAAAACAACAACTGCACCGCAGGTCTTCGCAAACCCGGGTCAGTCAATACGCGCGGCCGTCTCGCGGCCACGAGCAGGTCCCTAACCCGGGTCAGCCAGAGGGGGTCTTCGCAGGATCCTGCAGGATCTGGCGCCCTGGCTGACCCCCGTTTGCATTGACCCCCGTCTCGAGGCTCCCGACGACGACGACGACGACGTCCTCCGGCGACGGTGCTCGCAGACGTCGCTGGCCAGCAGCAAGTGCAACGACGGACTCGGCCCCCGGGGGCCCTCGCTGGATCCCCGGGACCGCCAACAGCGGCTCGGGATGAAGAACTGGTCGTGGGGGAAGGGGTCTGTAGACCTCTGCGGGTGCAGGGTGCACAAGAATCACGACGTCGGAGATCTGGGGAGGCCACCTCACGAGGCCATCCGGAGCCCTCCAGACACCAAAGACCTCTCTGGGGGTCTTCGGAGGCCTTCGGAGAGCCTCTGCCGGGTGACTCCGAGCAAGTCTTCGGAGGCCCTCCGGACGCCACACCATGGCTCCCTTCTGGGCCCGCTCGGCGTCCGAGTCCATGCGCCATGCGGCGGCCGAGTGGGCACGCGAAGACGAGGAGGGGGAGGAGGAGGAGGAGGAGGAGGAGGAGGAGGAGGAGGAGGACGAGGAGGCGGATAGGGGGAGGAGGCGGATAGGGGGAGGATGAGGGGAGGAGGAGGGGGAGGAGGAGGGACGCAGCCCACTCGGCTCCTGGACTGGCCAGCTTCGCACCACTCCGTCGGAACTGAGCCCCTTCGGTGGCCGAGTGGGCTCAGGCGCCGACCGGTCGGGGAGGGGAGCCACGGGACCCCAGGAGGCCATCCAGAGGCCAGGGGCCCAGTCGTTGTCGTCCTCCTCCCCCGTCGCCGCCGAGGGAAGCTTTGAGGCGTCCCGGGGGGAATCTTGCGGCCTCCTGGACCACCTTGGAAGCCATATAAAGCTGTACCATGAGCCACCTGGGCCCTCTTTAGAGGCCTCCTTGATGGGGTCCGAGTAGATGCGATCGGAAGACCTCGCCGCATCGCCGATACATCGGCGATGCATCGCCGATGCATCGGCCATGCATCGGCCATGCACTGGCGACGTCGGCGATACATCCGCGACGTCGGCGTGGAGAAAATTGGGCCCCACATCGATCCGCATCGTCGATGCATCGGCGATGCATCGGCGATGCGGCGCGATCCTCCGACCCCATCTACTCCGACCCCATCTAGGAGGTCTAGACTCTTGGGATCGTGCTGGAGGCTCCAGCGCCTCGTCGCCGTGTCCTCCTCCTGGACCCTCGTCCTCGCTGCCGCCGCGGAGGGGCGAGGCTCGACGAGGCTCGAGGGAGGGTGGCGGCTCCGGGGTAGAGGGCCGCGGATCCAGAACTCGGGGCCGAGGCGCCGCCGCCGCCGCCGCCGCCGGTGTTCGAGGCTCGAGGCTCGAAGCTCGAGGATCAATGCCTTGATCGTTTTGCCCCCCCCCCCCCTGGAGGCCTTGATCAAGGCCTTGAACAATGCCTTGATCGTTCTGCCCCACCCCTCGAGGATCAATGCCTTGATCAAGGCATTGATCAATGCCTTGATCAATGCCTTGATCGTTTTGCATCCTCCTGGGGCCTCCTGAGGCCTCCTCTCTGGAGGCCCACGAAAGCCACCGGAGGCAGTCCTGGTTGTCGTCGTGGCCTATTGCCGTCGTCGTCGTCGTCGTCGTCGTCGTCGTCGTCGTCGTCGTCGTCGTCGTCACGTCGTTGTCGTCGTGGTCGTGGAAGACGGCGTCGTCGACAACACAAATGAAAGGATAAGGCATAAGTCTTAGCTTTCTCGGAAGCTGTTAACCTCCTGAGTCGCTCTCGTCGCCAGGGCTGGGTTCTCCACAGCCTTGGAGGAGGTGGACGCAGACCTCTGCAAACCTCTGCAGACCTCTGTCGATTCAAAAAAGAAGCGCGCTTAGATCTGTTCGCTATTTTGGGCCGCCCTGGGCGCCATCAGAAAAAGGCTCGGGATGAACAGGGCTTTTGGGAAAGGAGTGGCACGCAAGACGCAACACCAGCCCAAAAGACGAAGATGTCCTGCGCTGCGAGTCGGGGGACCGGTGCATGGCGGAACCTGAAAAGCAGGGCGGAGAGACAGGAGGGCGAAGTGAGGACTGCATAATGAGGCGGACGACGCCGAGGCCGAGGGAGCAACATGACACCGATACCGCCACCACACACGGCCCTCTCGAACCCGTGGCGACGAGGGAAGCGCGGTGGCATCGGTACCCAGCGGTCGGAAGAAGTGGGTAAGAACTTGAAGCAAGGAAACGTTGGAAGCATATCTCCGGCCGCCTCCCGGAGACGAAGGACGAGGAAGACCCACCCGACCCCTGAACTGGGAAGGAGCTTGATGTATATATACAAGTGGCGCGTGTGTGCCCAGGCTCATACAAAAAAAACTGAAAGGGCGTTTGAAGCAAGAAGACACCATGACTGCAGGATCGGAGATGGAGAAGGGGAAGCTGGGGCGGCGCCGCCAGGTCGTGCCTAAGAGAAGGGGAAGAAGCAGGAGGTGAACGCAGAAAAATCTAAGATCGAGGTCGCACTCGAGCGCAAATGGGGTTGCCACACCTTGCGATGTGTGTACCAGGGCCCCCAGAAAACCTCAGGAGGCCCGACTTGGATACCGGAAGAGGCTCCAGGAGGCCCCGGGATTGTGAGTGTTGTGTGTGTGCGTGTGTGTGTGTGTGTGTGATGTGTGCTCTGTGTTGTGCGTGTTTTCTGTGCGTTGTCGGTGTTGTGTGTGTGTGTGTGTTATGTTTGTCTAGCGTGTGATCTGTTGGGTGTGATTTGTGTCTCTGTGTGTGCATGTAGTTCTGCGGCCCCAGGAGGCCCCAGGAGGCCCCAGGCGGCCTCAGAAGGCCCCAGAAGACCGCAGGAGGCTCCAGGAGGCCCCAAGAGGCTCCAGGAGACCGCAGGAGGCCCCAGGAGGTTCCAGGAGACCCCTAGGAGGCTCCGAGGCGGGATCTGGGGTACCAGAAGGTACAGAAAGCCCCACAAAAACCCCAGGAGGTTCCAGGAGGCTCCCAAGAGGCTCCGAGGCGGGGTCTGGGGTACCAGGAGGTACGTCGGGGCTCGATTTTGGGAGGATGTCTCGGGCGAAATTGACATCCTCTGAGAATCGGGGTCAAACTCATTAAAATTACAATGCGTGTTTGAAGGTTTTAGGTTAGAATGTTGAAATTCCCATGTGTTTTTGGACCCTGACGTCACGATCTGCGTGAGGGGTGCCACCGATTTTCAGAATTTCGAGGATGTCCTAGCGAAACGGCCAGACAAATCGCGAACGCCGTCAATTAATCGGCTCTGAGCTCTACTCCCTCGGAGAAGTGCGTATGATAATATGTATATATATATATATATATATATATATATATATATGTATGTATGTATGTATATTGGAGCTGGGATAGTTTGGAATGTTTATTTTCCATTACTCAGGGGTATTTGAGATTCCCTTGACTCTTGGAAATGTTGCCTGCTCTATGTTTGGTGGGCTGTTGTTACGTTGAGTCGCCTCTGCCACGGCCCTGGGGCCCCATGTAATGAGGGGCCCCGGAGGCCGACGCCTGCCGAGGAGCTCCCGGCGTGCCTCCTGCTCGACTCGGGAGGGGGCCCTTAGGCAGGACGAGCAGCGGCACGGTCGACCCGTATACGTATCGGGGAGACGTAAGACCCGGGCACGGGGGACTCGGGTTGGCCCGACGAGGTCGTCAAAAAAATGACGAGGCCGAGCCTGCATTTTGACGAGGCCTCCCGCTGCAGACACCCCACGAAACTCCTCCTCGTCAAAGTTCCGAGGCGCGGTCGTCAAAAAACGATGGCGAACCCGAGTCCTGGCAAACCCAGGTCTTACGCTCCCCCGAAAGTAGGATGCGCGGTAAGGATGCAAAGGGCCTTGGATTGTGGATGCCACGACAATGGACATTCGAACAATCCGATCATTGAATTTAAGATGTGTTAAGCATGTGTACAACATCTTCTAACAATGCTTCATCTATGTGTGGTTTCATGTTTAAGCATGGTTGAAACATCTTTTCGGGTCGGAAGAAATATGTGGAAGCAAGACGTGGAAGGCGGATCAAGTCGACTGGGTTCAGGCGCGCCCAGAGAATAACAGAAGACAGCAAGCACGGATCGACGGAAGGCGCTTGGAATAGATTGGGATCTGGGGATTCCCAAAAGACTTATTCCAACGACCGACCTGCACGGTGAGGGCAGTGGATGAGGAATCCTTAGATGAGGGCCCCAGGGTCTGGAAGCCTCTGGAACGCCTATCGAGGCTGGGCCATGGTCATCACCGCCGACCTCATCTCGGGGGCGGCCAAGAGGGGGGCGTCCAAGAGGGGGGGGCGCAAATCATGGCCGGCGGCATGTGCGCGGCCCAATGCGGGGACCAGGGACGTAATAAAGTAAGAAGAGGCGCCATGACATCTGGGGAAGTATCATGGCCCACGCCATGATGTCCACCCCCCCTAGTCATCACCCCCCTCTGTGTCGGCCCTTGTCATCGGATCAGAAATCATCCAGGGGCTGAATCCCTCCCGGGGCACATTCGGAAACCAACGGCCCGCGCCGCATCGCCTCCCCCTCTGCAGCGACGGCGGCCGCGGGCCTCGAACCGCGCGAGCAGCGCGGCGATGGCCCGCCGCGGCAGAGGCGCCACGACCGCGCGAGCGGCGCGGCTGCCGCCCCCCTTGCGGCCGCCCCGCGCCCGCCGCAGCGCCGCGGCGCCGAGGGCGAGGGCGAAGCCGGGCACGCGCCTCGCGGCGCCGCGGCGGCGGGTGCGGCGGCGTCGGCCGCGCGCAAGGTTTGACGATCCGCAACGTCCCCAAAGTTGGTTTTCAAGTGTAGATCTGTTTGAAGCGGATGCGGTAGCACTTCACATGGATGGACGCGGTCACTGTTCGCGGGCTGTCGTTGCAAATCCCAATCGTATCGAGATCAATTCCCTTGAGACCTGAGCGATGCGATTCTTGCACACTGGGCGTTTTCGCCCAGTTGAGAGCCCCGGGCTGGGCGTTGCTTCATGGGGGGCGATCAAAAGGGGGGGCGAGGGGTGGAACCGTACACCTTTCGTGGCCCTCTTGGGCACTACGGGGCCCATTTAGGGAAGAAAGGGTGCAGCTTCTTCACCACCTGATATGAATCAACGCCCGACCAGAACAGTGACAGATCGTTCCGGCTGGAAAAATGCCGCTCGAAAGTAATGATCTTTTGTCATGTTGCGTTCTTTGTTGCGGCAAGGTCAAATCTCGGGGGAGGACCAGCCAGGCGCGCCCCTCGGCGCCACTGCGCGGCGGCGGCGGCAGCGGCTGCGCGACAGCGGCGGCGGCGGCCGTCGTCGCCGCCGTCGCCGTCTCCGCCGTCGTCCCGGGCGGGGGCCACGAGGAAGTCGCCAATGCCTTATCCAAGGCCGCGCGTGCACTTCTAGAACTCCCACCTGCCGTGCGGGAGCAGAACCCTGAGAAGCGGTTCGCGGATACCCCTTCCTCTCCCGGGGAAGCGTCCCATCCCGAGTGACTGTGGGACCGTCCCAGAGCCCAGGAAAGGCCCCAGTGTGCCGAAACTGG